TTGCAATTTCTTTCTAAACCATTTTGTAGAGCTTAAAAAAAGAAATAATCTAGTATATTGAAGCGCTGTTGTATGCCTAACGGTCACGGAGAAAATTCAAAAAAACTTTAATATAAAATTCCCATGTTATTCTTATGGAGGAAATGAAAACTGTTGTAGTTTATTTGTTTGTGGATATATGTTGATAAAATTTAGCAAATTTATTTATTTCATCCTATACTATTGACGTATAGTCAAAAAAACACTTTTTACCTTCCTCGTAGCAGCAAACCTAAGCACTCGTTAAATCTAATGTTATTAAAATTGGGAATAAATATGTCTTATTTAAGGAAATATTTTAGTAAAAATGTAATCAGATAAGTTGAAATTCGCTTAGTCTGCAGGTTTGCTGCGGCGGGGGTATTTTTGTAGTTCATATAAATATTAATTTTTTCTTTTACATTCAATTTGTCTCTGTCTTTTTTTTGTTAAGTTTTCTTCAATATTAGTAAACTTATGTTTGGAATTTAGTAAATGATCTGCTAAATTTGATTTCATTGATGTTTTGTTCTTCGATTTATATGCTTGTATGTGTTCGTTGAATCTAACTTTAAAATTTTGATAGGTTTGTCCAATGTAGTAGTTGTCACAGTCAGAGCATTTAATTTTGTAGATACCAGATGGGTTGTATATGTTGATTGGAGTGTGTTTGAATGTTTTCCTTATTGCTTTGTTTACATTTTTGTTGTTTGGGACGCACATGAATTTTTTTCTTCTTTGTGTTTCAAATTATTCTCTAAATTGAGTTTAATTTATTTCTTTTCTTAATTTTCTTCGTGATTTATCAATCATTTTGCGTCTATATCAATTTTTTTCAGCTAGATATTTTATGGTGTCGACTTCTTTCTTGTAGTTTTCTTTATTTAAAGGAACGTTGATTAATCTGTGTATTAGTGAATGAAAAGCTGCAATTTTGTGTGTCCATGGATGATTCAAATTTTTAGGAATTATTATGTCTGTAGTTGTGGGTTTTCTGAATATGTTAAAAGAATGTTTGTTGTTTTGGATGGAAATTGTTAGATCTAGGAAATTGATTTCTTTTTGTTGGGTTTCTTTGGTGAATTTAATTTTATTATTAATATTTTTGAGATATCTATATATTAATACGCAAGTTTTCTTTTCACAGTCATAACTCAATAACGGCTTGACGGATTTTAATGTTTGAGGTTTCAAATTAAAGGTATTTTCACGTAGATGTGCAAATACGTCTCAGAATAATAAGAAAGGACATCACTTAAGTACAGTTAAGGGCTAAAGTTTGGGAACGGCGGCGCTATCTGTTGACATTAGATCAAACCATAAAAAATTGAGTTTGATGGTTTGATCTAAACCATCAAACTCAATTCCCTTTGTTTACAACTAAACATATGGACATAGTTTGAAATAGTTTTTAAGTTTAACCACAGACTACAGGACTTATTACTTCTAGAGCAAAGCTGGAATTTTATATTAAAAGCTTTATATTTAAAGCTGGAGTTTCCTAACAAGACTTGACAACAATTTGTTTTAATAGTTGAATTTGTTTACCTTACATCGTATTTTACTGAATTACCATGTAGTTTTGGTTACAGTTCGGTGTGATTAAGTGAATGTTTGAAAGTGATTATTCACATTGCAGTGTATCAAAATTCCTTTGTAGTGTTTTCTGTTGATAGGTTAACTTTCGTATTTTATCTAAATTTTAAATTAAATGCCACCAGTAAGACGAAGAACCTGTTAGTGGCTGGAGGGAACGCAAACGTGACCACTTGCATCAACCTCCCAATTTGACGGATACAGAGTGGCAGTAGCGCCATGGTGATACATCCAATCTCCGACAAATGAACGTAAAATTTTTACTTTGTGGTGGCTTACATTTTAAGCAAGAAAAGACTGGCCGAGACAGTTCAATTTTTACTCTTTGTTGCCATAAATGAAAGGTTCATTTCAGGGGTGCCCAGAGGGGGGTACTGTGGCGTGTTTGCGCCACAGGAATTTTTGGGGGGGCGGACTTATTTTTAGATTTTTGGGGGGGATATTTTTTTGCTAGCAGTCATAATGAACGTATAATTTTGTATAAGCAGCCCGAAAAAGTGTTTCTAAGTAGCTCACTATCACCACCAACAACATTTTGCCGTTCGTAATTAAGATAGCTTCTAAGAATGGTAAAAACGGACCTTGCCAGGCAATCCTTAATATACCAGTGTCGAATTTTACTTGCTACATATGTTTTGGTGGTTCTTTAACTCCACTATCGTCAGGATTTAAAAAAGATCCACTTCTGGAGGTGTCGTCAGAATACGACAAACATTTAATACAAAACACGAAACGATTACAGATAGGCCTTTCAATTCGTACATTGCCGTCGGCAGGACTGGAAGTAGAAGTAAGTATAGTAAACTGAATCAGGTTCAGGTTATGACGGACCGACGTGGTCTCTGGATTGTCGTCTGCGTTTTCAGCAGCTGATATTGGACTATTGTAGTGACTGAGAAGAGTATTGAAAATATAATGGGATTTGTAATTAATTGAGTGTTTTCACTAAAAAATTTTGTGCTGTCAATAGTTTTATGTATATTTCAAACTCCTCAAAGTATTTAACAAATTTCCTTTTCTGCTCTAATGTAGAATGTCGAGACCATCAAGCATGTAAATTTGTTATTATTGTCAATAATTTTGAATGTAAAAATCAATTATGAATCCCATTATATTTTCAACACTCTCCTCCGTCCCTAGAATTAGTCCAATTTCAGCTTTTGATAACACAAACACCAATCCAGAGACCACGTCTTTCCGTCATTACCTGATTCAGTTTACTTCCAGTCCTGCCTGCGGCAATATATATACAAGCGTGAATTGATAGGCCTATCTGTTATCGTTTTGTGTTTTGTGTACAAACGGATTGTCTGACAAGATGCGTTTCTACCATTATTAGTCATAACAGGCAATCCTGGGGCTATCAAAATGAATTATAAGATTACTTCGTCACAAAAACCTTTTGTACTGGTGGCAATTATTAAGGGATATTGTGGGTATTTTGCCCGGCGATTTTTGTAGAAGGCAGCCTGGGAGTGGCGAGCAACAAGTCTGTCTTATTTCGTGACTCTGCCTATAATTGTGAAACAGTAATATACTTTTTGCCAAAGTACTATTAATGCACTTAAAGCTGTTTGAATTCTTAAGCCCTATAAAAATTAACGCCTAGATTTTTAATGGTCATTTTTCCATAAAAACCCATAAAATACCAATAAATCTGATTTTTTTTACTTTTAGAACAACAAATTTTAATTCAAATTTTATTGGCTATGTTTTAGTCTTTTAGACTCCAAACAAATCCATACAACCACCATCTCTGTAAAAAGTACAGTTCAAAAAATATATTTAAAAATACTGCTCGATTGATTTAAAATTGAAATGTAGTATTTTGTAGTCCTTTTTCTTCTTAACAAAATGGTACAACCATGCACAACCCCTAATGCTGTACAAGTTATGGTTCAAAAGCTATTTTGTGATTTTCCCCATTATATATTTATTTTTACTTCTTACCACTTTAATTGCTTAAAGGGTTTTTGACAAGCTAATCGGAGAAAGTATGCGTCGGTTTGCTGAAACCGTTTATTTAAAGCAGGTTATGGTTTTAAAGGTTTTTCTTTAGATAATCATATCATCAGCAGAAAAGAAATGTTTTGGGTAGTGCGAATGATTATAGTTCATTTCTTTAAATCTAAAGGTCACTGGTTGATTCCAAGCCAAGATAAATAATTGTGGAACCAAATGCCATTTATGATTGGGCTATAAACTAATCCTATACTCTAATACGAGCAATGTTTGCTTGTATGTATGTATGCTTGCTTGCACAAAGATCTCGAAAACGGTTCCGACGATTTTCTTCAAATGTTGTAAATAGTTTAATTCTGGCCTAAAAACGAGTTTACTGCAGTTAGAAGTGCCAACAAAAATCTAATTACGTAGAAAAATGAAACTGAAAATCACTTTTTTTTAACATTAGTCTTATGGGTTGCTAGGTAACCTTGTTGGCTGAATTAAATAACAAGGAAAAAGTAAACAAAAAACTTGAAGTTGTAGCATGTGTTCATAATAAGCCAACTACCCACAGTATACTAGCAAATTACAAATACAGTACAAAAGGAAAAACATCATTTAGCAAAGTTCAAGGCGAGTAGTCCGGAGTGTGGGAACTGTTTATGACGATTAGATTAAGGTTTCTACAATCATAAAATGCTATGGGAAGGGAGGAAAACAGGTCCGCGACGTAGGAAGTGGTGAAGGATGTAGTCAAAGGCGAGCTGTCCGGAGTGTGGGAACTGTTTATGACGATTAGATTAAGGTATCTATAATCCTAAAATGCTATGGGAAGGGAGGAAAACAGGTCCGCGACGTAGGAAGTGGCGAAGGAAGTAGTCAAGGCGAGCTGTCCGTAGTGTGGGAACTGTTTATGACGATTAGATTAAGGTATCTGCAATTCTGAAATGCTATGGGAAGGGAGGGAAACAGGTGAATGACGTAGGAAATGGTGTAGGACGTCGTAAAGACGAGCTGTCCGGAGTGTGGGAACTGTTAATAACGATTAGATTAAGGTATCTACAATCCTAAAGTGCTATGGAAATGGAGGGAAACAGGTCCATGACGTAGGAAATGGTGTAGGACGTAGTAAAGGCGAGCCGTGTGGTGTTTGGGAATGGATCTATGTGTCTCCAATACAGTACTGACTGCTTTCAGAGTGGACTAATGATTTTCCCCGAGCAAAGCTCGGCCCCCGGGTACTGATATATTATACAGTAACAAACATCCAACCAACAACCACTAAACACAAACACTAAAATCTCATGTAAAAGGTAATTTATACTGACCATGATCGTTCTCTTACAAAGACTTCAAGTTTTCCAATGGTGTAGATTAACACAAATAAATAAAAATCTCCACTTAATCCTCCACCGGTCTCAAATACCAAGCACACATACCAAGGGAAGAGCACGTCCGCCATGAGTAGCCCGTTCCATGTAGCGTGTTCTAGGAACCAGTAGCCACCGGCTCCATCATTGACAAACACCATCAGCACCAAAGTCAACCTTCAACCAAGTCCTTTAATTAATCAATTTTGCTTCTTCAAAATCCATAATAATTCCTTTGATAGCCCTAGGATTGTGTTTTAAGACAAATAATGGTTAAAAATACCTTGTCGGACAATCCTCAACATTAACTGTAGTGTGTAGTTTAAAACTTGCTACATATTTTTTGGCGGTATTTATAACTCCCCCATTGTTATGCTAACAGAAGGATCAGGCTGAGTCTGGTTCGCGCGCGTACAGATTGGCCAATGGTTCGAGGGTCTTTTCTAACATACAGATTGACCAAAGGTCCTAATGAGCAGGGGCAAAAAATTGGGGAGGAGCTTACAGCAGTGATGTGTGTGGGGGAGGAGCTAGTCTATTCAAGTAATCTGTTTGTTAACGTTTTCTAATCTTCAGGCCCGTTTTTGACCCTGTCAGCGCCCTAGGCACAAATAATAGTAGCGCCCCTTTGCAATTTAATAATATGTAGGGTATCCACCGACCGGGAAATCCGGGAACCATGCATGCGTTTTTTAACCAGGAATTATGTGTGAATTTTGTATTTCACCCTAGAGTTTTCAATCTACGGTGATCGCGCATGACAACAGTGACGTAGTGACAACAGGAAACGATAATATGTCTACACACGGCCGCGAGGGATGATCAGAATATTGCCACGATCACGGTAGAAGATGATAATGTTCACACGACCACGGGAAACACGAAGAATTTTGCCGCAATCGTGAAAGACGATAATGATCTCCAAACGATTGTGGGACATGATTAACATTTTGCCGCAATCGCGGGAGACGATTATGTTGTCTTCACGACTGCGGGAGACGATTACGATGTCTACAGGACTGCTGGAGATAAAATAATGATTTTTAAACGCCGCTAGGGATGATCAGAATTATGCCACAATCTGATAATTTCCACATGACCGCGGGAAAAGATCATAATTTTGCCTCATTCGTGGAAGACGATGATCTTCATATGTCAGCGGGAGATGATGCCCATTTTCCGCAATGGCGGGAGATACAATGATGATTTCTAAACGCCGCGAGGATTGATCAGAATTATGCCACGCAAGACAATGATAATGTTCACATGACCGCGGGAAACAGCAAGAATTTTGCCGCGATCGTGGAAGACGGTGATGATATCCACACGACTGCGGGACATGATTAACATTTTGCCGCAATCGCGGGAGACGATTACCATGTATTCACGACCACGGGAGACGATTACGATATCTACATGGCCACGAGGGATGATCAGAACTATGCAACGATCGCGCAAGACGATGATAATGTCCATATGACCGCGGGAAAAGATCAGAATTTTGCCTCATTCGCGGAAGACGATAATCTCCATATGTCCGCGGGAGAGGATTTCCGTTTTGCCGACATCATGGGAGACGATTACGATGTTTACATGGCCGCGAGGGATTATCAGAAGTTTACTGTGATCACATGCAAATACAACCACCAATCTTTTTTATTTTCCAAAATTTTGGCGCCCCCAAAAAAACGCCAATTGCCTCGCGCCCTAGACACGTGCCTACCGTGCCTATTCGGTAAATTGGCCCTGTAATCTTACCAGATACAGAGTATAGCATTAAATAGCATTAAATGGTGGTCTCTTTAATGCTATTGAATATCTTAGAACCAACTTGTGAAGTTGAAAAAGCTGACAAAATTTTTTAATTCATTTTAAATATGAATACTCATAAGGTTAACAACATGGGAAACTATGGAGCCATTGGAGCAGAGCCCGAAATGATTTTTGGGATAAGAATATGTCTAGATATGTTAATCGGGAATGTGAGCTATCTTCATACCAAATTTCAACCCGATCCGACCAGTAGTTAATGCGTGATTGGATATCAAACAAACGAACAAACTCACAAAATTTCACAATATTAGTACTACGATATATTGTAGTTTTTAAGGGTGAAAACATGATGTCTCATCATATCTCTATTTTATTCATTGCGTGCGCGATCTCTTCAAGGAAACTTTAGAAAGATTAATAATACTAATGACACATACTATGAAAACAAAAAATCTAACGTAAACCATTTTCTTCTTTACATTTTATACAAAACTAGCTGTTGTACCCGTGCTTTGCAACGGGAAGAGGACACAAAATAGAAACATTTTAATCTTTACATCTTTTACATATACTAGTTACACATCCGCAAATGCTTTTAGAAACAAAGTTCAACTTTTATGGCCTTAATAGAAAAGTTAAAGTTATAACTTTTAAATCTGATAAGTAGTGGATAGCACCATTTTGGTTTTGATTAATTTTAAATCTTGTGTTGGCTGATATGAGAAACCCTGACAAAATCTTCGAATACAACTTTGACATGATTTACCTTCATCTCCCTTATTTAAATATCTTTTAATTTACTATTGACATTTTAAATTTCTATTTTGAAGTTGCAAAAATACTAATTATCTATACTTATTTAATACGCAAGCAGGTTTTTTGTGACAATTACTCCTCCGAAACTATTGAACCGATTGACACGTTTTTGGTGTCATTGGAAAGAGCGTAACGTGAAGTTGTGCAGGAAACTTTCTTTTTAGGGAAGAGAGTGAGGCCCTGGCGCCCTTTAAAGTTTCATATTTCCCCATAAGGATAACATAGGAGATAATTTTTATTTACAGAAACATATGTTTGTTACTTGAACATAGTCAAAGTCTACTACATAATAATTGATGTGTATTATGACTGTTAATGTATACTACATTTCAATTTAAGGATTGTATACCTTTAAGTTTACTCATAATGGATCTTACTACTTTATTTTAATTCTGGTAATAGTAAAATTTAGTTGAGATTAAGTTACCATGATTTAGAAAACTTTGCTATAATAATCTATGTATAGTCCAGGCGCTAAACGGGTTGAGTATGCACTGAAAGTCTGACAAAATTTGACTTTTGATTATTGTTGGGGACATCTAGTAGATGAAAAAAATCGATGATGTCGCATTTCTAGGGTGGTCACAACTAGGGGGGGAGGGGGGGAAGTTGCGCGGGTCATCGGTTTACGTTTCCGCGTCTAACTCACAAACGGTTAATGATAGAAAGATGAATTAAGCGTCTATCTACGCCTAAATATATCGTCCTTCAAAAAGGTTAATACAACCTTTCTTCTATCTCTTATACTTTAGGGGTTAATCAACATTTATTGCAAAAAATAAAATTTTAAAATACTTTAAAATGAAATATCGGAAATATTGCGCTTGTTTAGGGCATGTTACAAACTATTTATGGTTAGAAAAACTAACAAGTAGTACAACAGCACAAAGTTTAAAGAAATCTGTGCAAAAACAACAGAGCTACGTTGATTTCAGTAAGAGTAAACGTGGAAAATTCGTAGTAGTATCGAGGCGCGCATGGATGGTACGTAGCCCACAGTCAATATAGGTTTGATGTTGTAGGTAACCATGGGAAAGCTGAATTTTTCTATGCTGTTAGACCATGTTGAGATGATCATTTTCCCAAAAGTCCCCACTCCTACCCCTTTGTGCTTTCCTCTACCCCCCCCCCTTTTAGATAAATTTACAGTCTCTTAGAAATTAAGCTATAACTTTAAAACGGGTAAGGATAGTTACGCAATCTTTAATTAATCATTTTGCGTTACGATATTCTACAAAAAGTGTATTTACCATGGTATCCTACTTAAATATTCATAGTTAAAAAATATCATAAACATAAAAAAGTAATTTTTATGGATTAATTTATAAAACTTTTCTTTGTAGATTTTTTATACGAGGTCGCACAACAAAATGTTTGATACAAAATTTGGGGTGCATAGTTTACATTTTAAAATGATACATAGTTATTAACAGTTTGTTTGCTTATAGTGGTTATAGATAGTACAGTATATTGATTTTACAGGACTCTGGCTTTTTTGTGCACCGCAATAATGAAAAAGATTACGTATATTATGGTTTTTGTATTTGAATTTGCCGCTTTATATAGATTATATTAACGTTATGTAGCTCATTCAGTACATATACAGACTATAGTGGATACATATGAATGAATATCGTGCATTTGCTGCTGTACGCCAGAGCCTCATTTTATTATACAGGGTGTCTCACCTAAAGTGAACCAATAGATAACTTTTTTATTATGAGATATAGAGTTAACTTCTTATGGGACACTACCCTTTATTTTAAGATGTCTATTTAGTGGTTTCGAATTTTAAAAATATGTTAGCCATTTTCCAATATGACTGACAACTTTATTAGTCCTATGGAATACCCTGTATTTTATGATTGTTTTAGAATGTAAACGCTCAATTTTTAAACCTTTTTATTCTTGACATTTTTCTTTAAAGCTACTTGTTTAGGAGTTACATCGAAGAAGAAATGGTTTGTGAGTACATCCTGCATCCTGTAGCTCATAAACGAGTAAGTTTAAGAGCGAAAATACAAAGAATAAACAAGTTTTCAAATCACATCTACATAAAAAAACCATACAATAAATTGTTTCAATATCAAAGTAAGCTACCATTTTTGAAAATGGTGACCATTTTTTAAACAACAAAATCAGTATTTTTTTAACGTATTTTATACATTTTTTTGAAAGAGGACTTATATGTGACTTATTTATTCTTTGCACTTTCTCTCTCAACTTACTCGTTTATGAGCTACAGGATGCCGAATGTACACCACAAGCCTTTCTTTTAGATATAACACGCTGTAACTCCTAAATGGTGTAGGTTTAGAGAAAAAATGTCTAAATAAAAAAATAGCTTTTAAATTCTAAAAGAATACTAAAATACAGCGTATTCCATAAGAAATAACAAAGTTGGTGGCCATATTGGAAAATGGTGGATATATTTTTTTTATTCGTAATCATCCCTAAAAACATTTTTTACAAATAAAGGGGGTCGTCTAATAAAAAGTTAACTCTATATGGAAAATAAAATTTATGTATGTTCACTATGTAATCTCAACCGGGATGAAACGTGTATCCTTTTATAGCAGAATGTCCAA